CACAGGTTTTAAAAATTCACAAAAAATTCCATAGCACAGAATTTTAACAGGCTGAATTTTTACAATGCAGCTAAACAATATTTAATACAAATAGACTTGCTAAATAAACCAAGCACAGATACTCCACTAAGTTCTTAAATAACCTCAGATAGTTTTGAATGCCTTAGAGCAGGGAGGGAAGAGACAGGTCAGTGGGAGCCAGCTGGAAACCATGCTGCACCACGTTCAGTATTTTTTTTTTCTTTTGTTGGCACTTTTGATGCTTGCTTTCTGGTTTTTTGTAGAATTTTCTTTTCTTTTTAGGTATTGTGTTTGGAAACTAATACATAGAATATTGTATTATGTGTATGATGCTTTTTGTTTCTGCCTCAGCGGACCCCAAGGAGGATTTCCTGTTTTTGTATGCCCCCAGCTATGAAAAGTTGAGCAGGTGGGCTTCAGTGGAAAGGTCTTTCCGCACTCAGGAGGCCAACACTGAGAAGTCCTTCCCCCTTGTTGCATTCCCCTCCCTTAGTCTGCCTTAGGAGTGGCATTTAGAGGAAGGTCCCAGATGCTGACCATCTTGAAAATTGTATTTGGGAGGGGAATTCCATCAAATATTGTGGAATGCACTGTAATTAAGTGTCCCAGTAAGAGGAAGGGCCCATTATTCAGAGCACTTGTTTAATCTGTGGAAGGTGCTGGATTCAGTCCCCAAAGTCCCATGTAAAGGATCAGATAGCAGGTAATACAAAGGATTTCTGCCACCAGAACAGAGCATACTAAAATAAACATAAACATATTCCTACCAGGTATAAGGCAGATGAACCCATTACAGATTCGCCTCATATCCTTACACAACAGAATAGCCTAGTTTGTATGACATGGGGTTGGTTAATAAGACATGGTTGACTGCTAACCACCCCTGCACATATCAGCTTCATGTTACCTGGTTTATCTAATTACCCCCACTGGGTGAAGCTTGTCATGATGGATACACCTGGTAAGGATGGATGCCTGGGATAGTTAGAAAAACCATGGTCTGTTCTAAGATTGCTGCATGATTTCTTAGCCACCCCACTTACCCACCTCAGACATCAGAACATACTGTATGCAGCAAGTATAATTAAGTAAATCTGGCGGCACATGACCAGCAGACATCCGAGTGGCTAACAGGCCCATGTAGCTTGTTAACCAGCCTTGTGTTGTGTGCACCTGGTCACTGAGTCTCTATATTTCTCTGCCAGAGTGGAACTGTGGAAGTTCCCCTAGTGTTGTAAGCAAAGACATAGTAAAAGATTTCCATAGGAGCTATTATTGTTGCACTTACTATCAATGTGTTGGTATATTAATCACTCATGTCTCTACATAACTGTAAGTTATTTCATTGAAGCAGAACTTTTCTATATCATTTTTATCATGTTGTTGTTGTTGTTTCATGCTGTTAAATTGTGTCCAACTTACAGTGACCCTACCAATGAAATTCTTGCAAAATAGCCTGTCTTTGACAGCCCTGCTCAGCTCTTATAAACTACTAAGTCCCATAGCTTCCTTTAGGGAATAGATTCATCTGACAGGCTGTCTTCCCCTTATGCTTCTGCTTTTGACTTTGCCTAGCATTAGGGTATTCTCCACTAAGTCTTGCCTTCTTGTGATGTGCCTGATGTACAACAGTCTTAGTCTCATCATTCAGAGCAAGTGCTGCTTTGATTTGATCTAGGATCCACATGTCCATCTTTTTGTTGGTCCAGGGTATTCAAATGCATCGATTTTCTTCATGTCACTGTGGAACATATAATTCAGGCTTAATTAAAAAACCTCGTTTGCTTTGCTTTTCAACCAAATCTCACACTGAAATCAGCAGGACTTAAAAGCCATTAACTTTTGCTGGATTGTACCCAGTGCTTTTCTTTTGTTTACCCATGTTAGCTCTCATGGAACAAAACAACCCCAGCCATCTCGAATGGAACGTGGCTCATTACAGGCAGCTGGCATAGAACCATTGGCTTTGTTACCACAGGAGATTGTGGTTTTGACAGCTTGTACAGTCATCTTCTGCAGGATGATTCATGCACTAGATGAAATATTCACCAGTCAGGTTGTGGGTTTCTTTTCAAATTCTTCAGATCCTATTGGCCACTTTCAGACAGGGTAGTCTTCCATCAAATACAAGATAGTTTGCTCTTAAACACGCAGTGGAAGCAACTACTCTCTTCCTTTTCTTGAAGACTACATGAATAATATTGGCAAAGAAGACAAGATAAGTGTACAAAAGATAATTCACTTAAGTCCCATTTGTCCACTCAGTGAATCTGCTTAGGGCATTACCTGAGTAGCTTGAAATTAATGTACCTTTTGTTGTTGACATGGCCTCCATCACTGCTACTTGCCACTTTCACCATGGGGTGAATAAAATGTACAGCTATACATAGGCAAAATGGCACTATGTATTGCTAATAAGGCAGTGGTGACGAACAAGGACACCAGCTATGGGATAAGCTGAAATCTGCAGGTAGAAAGCAGAGAGAGGAGATGCCAGCAGATGTCCATATCAGCACTGGGCTGATACCGATTCATCCAAACATAAACTTCTAAACATTCCAGGCCTCAGAGCACCCAACCCTTTTGGGCTGATGAACACACTCAGAATGTTGAATGCACCAAATAGCTGCAATGAGGAGCTGCCTATCAACTAACTGTCTGCCATGGTAGGCATGGGCAATCACAAAATATCTATTTCCTTGAAGGCAAAGTTACTTATCCAAGGACCTAAGCATAAGGAAGAGGAGGGTCTGAGCTGTAAAAGACAAATGCACTGTTTGGAATCCACAGTTTCCTGCTTGTATATCCATTTCACGTATGAACGACTGATGAGGCTGAGAGACAGTCATCCTGAGAAAGAAAAACCTGAGTATAAGGCACAATTTCATATGAGCTCCAAATGCCTAACCACAGATCTGCCCCTACAAAGCACAACAGAATATCCATTTCATAGAAGGCAAATGAGTGATGCTCAGATGATGCTCAGAAAAACACACACATTGTTCAGAAAAACACACACATTGCTCAGAACATCTCCCCACTTTACCCTCCCTACAACTCCCCTGCTTTTCTTGGAAGCTAACCACAGTTCAAAATGAGGTGCTGGGCTGCAACTACGCATTGTCTAAAAATACCTTTGTGATCTATATGGGTCTGAGAAACAATAATGGAAATAAAGATGGCGCTGGAAGTTAGTGATTCACTTTGCTGTGTGCCTACCAGCCAATATAAATAGAAATGTATTTTTAAGAATATCAGGACATGTGGGGAGCTTGACTGACACCAAGGGAGGTGTCTACGTGTATCCTGGCGCCCACAGGCACCCCATTTGGGATCCTGGACCTATTCCAAAAAGAATTTGCTTCAGTAATTCAAATCTTGTCTTCAATGAGTAAACAAAACCCTGTGGGGGAGGGTGGAGCCAAAGGTAAATTATGAATGTGCCAGTGAATATGGAGTGTTATAGAAACTATAGAACTTTATACTCCTAAATGCCCCTACCAGTAAATCAATAAAATTGTTTGCTGGTTGCATAAGAACAGGCACACATTGTTTGCACAGGGAAATAATCAGCATGAATTGCATCCAAGTTTGGGACTTATAAAGGCACAAGACAGGATGTTAAGGGAAAGCCTGGGGCAGGGCAGGGCAGGGCAGGGCAAGGCAGGAGGAGAAAAATAAGAAAACATCAGTGGCTCTAGAGGTAATGCCCATTTTCCAGCTCACCAAGTCCCTCAGCAACTTTCATTCAGATCTTAAGAAATGACAGAAGTCAGAAGATATTGTTTTGGATTTAATACTTCTGTCCTAGCCTATCAAAAGTACAGAGTAGTACGAGCAAGTTACTGGAAACTGCAGATGGAACTTAGCCATTGGCACAGATCCCAGTCAAACAGAAATGTAAAAGTTATTTCCCTCCATGGGACTTCCTGAATAGGGGTGTCCCTCCAGACCTATAGGAGATTGCAACAGGTTGGAGTGGAGCCCTATGCCAGAAAAACAAGCCCTGACCAGTATTATTTCCTATTACCTGTCTTATTTATTAAAGTCTCTCTCTCTCTCTCCCCCCCCCTCCCCCTCCCTCTCTCTCTCTGCAACATGTTTATTCTCTTGTTTTCTTCCACCAATTTTGATAAGTACTTAAAACTCCCAATCAGCAGTGGCACTTGAGAAACTATTTAAACAAGAATTAGAAGTAGCCCGTTCAGTTGCTAAGCAAAAAGTCTGGTTCCAAAGAATAGTAAATGAAGGAACTTGTAAACCCTGACAGTATTTCTGCCACAGAAAAGAGAAACTGCATTTTTCTCACCCAGGCTTTACAATACAATTTAACAACAACAACACAACAATGACAACCTGCAGACACAATAACAAAAAATTATTAGGATACTATAGAGGGTTCAGGAAGTGCAGAAGATTCTGTAGATTTTCCAGTTCTGAATAAGAAATGAGCAAAAGGCCGGTCTCTTTATTGGCCTGCTATGTTTCTGTCTAAGAAACCTAATTTGCAGAAGGAAATAAACTGGCTCATTATAAAACTAAGGGGTCAGTGTGAATCAGATAAAGTCCAAGTCAGACAGCTGAGGAAACAAACTTGCAGTTAAGTTGCACACAGATTATCCTAGAAGGAAACAGTAAATCCCTCTGGATCTGTAGCTTCCATGGTGGGAGGGAAGAGAAAACAGTCCCTGCATATAATTTTAAAAGGCAATCGTTCACACCATACACTCTGTCACCATCAATTGTTCGAAAATATTGTCAAATGCTCATCTGAAATCAAGCAACATGTGCTTTTCAGTGGGAGTTTCTTACTTTTTTTAAATAGAGATCATACTTGGAACAGGGGAAATTGTATAATTTTTGGATAACTTTTTGATTATGTTAGTTCTTGAAGAAGGAGTAGATTTTTTAAAAAGTGGGAAAAGAGTAGAGATAAAATAAAAGTTCAAAAGGCATTATAATTTAGGAATATATGTCTGAAAATTTGCACATTATTTTTCCCTCTGTATCTACCCACAAAGTCTGGCTATATTCTCATTCATTGCCACAGCTTCTACCATGAGCAATGCCATATTTCATCTCCCTGCAAGTTCCCTGCACTCATAATTTCCACATTTGTAAGCAATTGCATTTGTCAGAGTTGTTGCTACTTCAAAGACAGGTTCAGCAGAAGTCCTAAAGATGGCTCACCTTTGCAGCTTTGCAGCTTCGCTAAACCACTTAGGGATTTTTCTTGTAACAGCTAATGAACTTTAAGGCAATCCTTAGAAGTTTGCACTTTCTTTTGTTTCAAGGCATGCTTGTGTTGGTTGGTATGAAGCGGTTTGTTCAGAGCTAATAGACGTGCAGCATAACCTGGGCATGTTTACTCAGAAGAATGTCCGCATGTGCTCAGTGGATCTTATTCCCGAAGAAATGAGCTGACCACCTGTTCAGCAAAGCCTGGAATGGTAGTGCTGTCTGCCCCACATGGTATATTTGTTCTGAAATGAAATACAGAGTGCTATAAACTTTACACTCTATGAGATGTCAGTGCCATAAGACTAAGGCTGCAAGCCTATACACCAGGGTAGTTATGCATAACAAGAAGATTGCCAAAAGATTTTGGACTTCAGTTCCAAACACTCCCAGCCAGTGGCCATGCTGGCAGTTGAAGTTGCAAACATCTGGAGACCTACCTTCTGCTCACCCCAACTCTGAGTAGGCATGCACAGCACTGCACTGTATGCAGCTAAGCAAGATGCACCATTAAATTCAGTAAAAGCAGACCCTCTTTTGAGTGAATATGCATAGTTCTGGATGCAAGAACCTTTCATAACACATTTATCATGTTTCCCCCTCAACTAACACCAAGATTGTTCACTCAATAGGCATGTGGAATCTTGACACCAAAATGTGGCAGGCCCAAAGTGAGTAATGCCCATGCTGGGAATGACATTGCTCTGTGTCTTTTTGTGTTGGTTTTTGATTTGGAATTTGATATCTGTAGATATGTATGCAGCATACTCACATGCAGTTAACTGTGACTGCAGGCTACACCACTTTAAATCTTTCCCCAGAGCTTTGTACATTGCTTGCGCAAATAGTTCCTGCAGAAGTTTCCCAGATCTTTAATAGCAGGATAATTTTGCTATTACCATTCTGGTATTCTAAAGTTGGGGACCACTGGGGACAGGGAGCATTTAGTGAATAACTTTCTACATTTAAAGCATCATGTTCCTTTCTTTAAAAGAAATCTAGAAGAGAAAACAGCAGCATGACAGTTTGCATCACTATCTTGCCACTTCTCCTGCACAACCCAGTAGCTAAACATCACGCTATTATCCCTATAAGGTCAAATGCAATAGAGCACCAGCAAAGACAACACTGGAGTGTTGTTTCTATCCACTTTGCATGTGACTATAAAATCAAAGATTAGAAGGGCATACCAGCATCATGTCACTTCTAGTACTGAAAGATTACATTAATAAAGAAAGTAGCATTGTTGCCAGTGTTTCTTTGTAACAATGCATGTTTACAAAGAGGAAGGCATGCCACAGCTGGCTATGGCACCCTGCAGCATCAAACCCAGCTTCTAAGTTGGGCTGCCTTTTTTCACTAAAAATCTGGATATAGAGCGTATTTTTCGCTCTATAAGATGCACCTGACCATAAGACGCACCTAGTTTTTAGAGGAGGAATACAAGAAAAAAAATATTCTGAATCAAATGGTTTACTAAACTATTTAATAAACTATAACAGAATACAGTAATATCGTATTTCAACCTTGTAAAGTGAACAGCAGTCAACAGTGGCATTAAGAACCATCATCACTGTCATTAACAAAAGAGAGACTTTAAAGTTCGAGTACTCTTCTAGTTTTGGTTGAACCCATAGAACTCATCATCACTAGAGTCAGAATTTATGAAGCTCTTTTGCTCACAATCACTGACATCACTTTCTTAGTCAGTAGTGGAATTATTGAAGGAATCCACAATCTACACCAGTTATACAAGAGCTGCTGCGGACAATTTAATAACAAATCTAAAAAAGTCAGTAATGTCCATGCTGCCCTACTAGTAAATAATAGAAAAAAACTTCTGACAAAAAATGAGATATTGTATGGTAAATCAAACACACA